TTCCTTTTCCAGCAGTAAAATGTGTGTTTGGTTTCCCTGAATAACACAGTCTGAGGTTTCCCTTTTGCGATCTGGATAAACTGAGTTTAGGGAGGGTTGTGCAGCAAGGCAAGGGCACACTGGGCATTGACAGCAAGGTGGCCTTCACAAGGCAGGGACAGCCACAGCACTGCTCTGCTTGGCCTGGAGGGGATTTCAGCCAGAGGTCTGAGCTGGTCATCACAAGGAGGAGGTACCAGACAGGAGAAGGTACAGAGAAGATGCTTACAGGGTTGGTTATAAGTTTGAAGAGCATGAGCTGCAAGAAGAGGAAGAGCAAATCTAATCTGTCCAGGGCTGGCAGGGAGAAGCCTGAGCAGGGATACAATAAAAGCCTTCTAAAATGCTGCAAAATCACTAGAAAGAGATTAGCAATCATTCATTCTTAGGTCTACCAAGGATATTTTGTGCAGTAATTGGCTTAATTTGCATCTAGAGAGATTTAGGGTAGGTATTAGGATTGCAAAGGGATTTTCCTTGGGTCACATCATGGCGTGTCAAAAGCTGTCTGGGATGTAACTGCTCCAAAACAGCATGCAGAGGAGCAGCTCCTTGCAGTCCCACTTGCCCTATGGGGCTGTGAGGCACCCTGGAGGAACCCCACTGTGCCAGAGACCATGGGGAGATGTCCCTGGTGAATCTGGGCAGGGAAAGGCAAGGCAGGGCCACCTCTGAGCACCGAGCACGGGGTGCTGGGGGAGCAGGGGAGAGGGGAGCAATGGGTACTCTTGCTCCCACTCCTTGGAAGCTGCCTGCCTCCTTGCCATGGGAAAAGGGGATCCTTGCCCCATGGCAGAGGGTGGAAACTGCTTTGGTGAGCGGCACCAGCCCCACAGCTGGATCTCCAGTTCTCCCATTTCTGATCTCCCCTCTGCCACGCTGTCCTTCCCTCTCACATCTCTCTGCGCCTCTGTTTTGCACCTCCTCCATCATCCTTTTTCTGCCGTACCCCTCCTGCTCTCCATCTTCCCCATCCCTCCAGCTGCACTCCTCCTCCTTTCTAATCTCTCCCTCTTTATTCTCACGCCTTCTCACACCCGCTTTTTCATTCAGCAGCACGCCATTTCCATTTGAATCGCTTTCCTGACTCCATCCAGGCCAGGAGCCGAGCCAGGAGGGTGCTGCATCCTGTCCTAGCCCCACATTCATGAGCATCACGTGGAGGTGCTGGCTGTCACCAGCAAGCCCGTTCTGTATGCGTGGCAGCAGCGTGTTCCTGCACCCTCCTCTGCCCACTGAGCGGAGCTGAACACGGGTTACAGAGCACATGGAGAGGGAGCGATGGTGGAGACACACCGAGTGCTCCCCATTGGCATCCCCAGAGGGGTAAAGGGCACTGGGCAGCCACCCCTTTCCAGGGGATGTGCTGGGTCTGCTGGCTGCTTTTCCAAGGGTACAAGGCACCCATCGGCACCATCTCTGCCCATCAGTCCTTGTGGGCCAGCCCTGCCAAATCGGGTACCACAACAGCAAAGGCAAGGGATAAAGCATGGTGAGAAGGATCGTGTGGTGGATGTCGGTAAGATCTGCTGGCTGGGGGTAGCCATGCAGGTCCTTCCTGCAGGCACTGGGTTTGGGTTAGGGTTAGGGGTCTGCTCTTACCATGATGTGGGTGAGGGTGCTGGGCTCACCAGGACCCTGCCCAGGCTCTGGGGTGAGAGGTGCCCCTTGGCCCTCAGTCTGTCTGTGTGCATGTACCCTCAAACACTGGTCACCCGCATGTGAATTCACTTCTCGCACATCAGCCCATGCCAACACCCGTCAGGCACCAGGCTGGGGTCATTGAGCTGGGCTTGGGATCCATGGTGGCAGCTCTTCTGCCTCCCTTGGTCCTCCAGGGCTGCTGGTTGAGGTTCCTCAGCTCCTTTACCTGGAGGAGGGAGAGCCAGAACCCCCATCCTGTGGATACCTCCATGGGTAGGAGAGGCCCTGTGTGAAGTGCCCAAGACAGGAGACAGTTGTCACCAGTGCATATACCCTGAAGGTTCTTGGTCTAGAAGGCAGGGCTGGCTGCCCACCCTCCCTACCTCCTTCTCTCTTCTCTTGAGGCTCATTTGCAGAGTCTGCCTCTCACCTTTGTAACCTTGCAGTCTGCCCAGGCTAAATAAGATTTATTATCTCCCCAGCATCAGGTGGACACAGAGGCAAACAACTTCCAGCCTCATGGGGTGTTCCTTTCCTTCTCTATCAGGTGCTGGTTAATGGATAACTTTCAGGAGTTTTCCTCCTGGCAAACAGGGAGCCCTTCAACATTTTCTTTAACCTCTGGGTTAAAGGAAAGCCAAGAGCTGGTTGCTCTCTGGTGAACTGCTCTCCATGGCCAAGTGGAGCTGGTGCCCGCTTTGCCTCTGAGTGCAATAGCAAACGGGCAGGGCAACACTTTCAGGCCATGGGCAACCAGCCACAGCCACCAGTGGCACAGGAGAGGGTCTGGGAGGGTTTGGTTTCATGTAGAGGGTGTAGAAGCTTGGTCTGGTGGAGGGCTACAGATGAAGCTGAGGACATGGGGGGCTGGCAGCAACTTGGTTGTTTGCCATCAGGAAAAGGGCTATGGTCCCCGTTGGGCTGTAAATCAAAGTTGTGCCCAGGAGCAGGGTAGGTGGGACTGGGGTTGGTGCTCTGGTATACTCAGGGGAGCCTCAAGCCCTTTACTATATACTCAAGGCACCCTCCCCATGCAGGCAGTTGGTGTTAAGCATCAGGAGCGGCAGCTATGGCCGTCATCTCCTCCCCATGGCAATAAAAGGGGTGCCCAGGTTTCTGCTCCATCTCTAAAAGCAGAGCTGTTACCAGGGAGTTCAATATTTGACAGAGGGTCACATTCTGCCCCTAACAGTGCAGGGGGTGCAATATTTTGCTGTCTTATTTGTGTTTCACTGAGGGCCGTTCCCAAACCCTTGACTCGTGGTGACCCTTGGACCACACGAGCAGAGGGACCGGGCTGCCCTTGGGTGCCAGCAGCGCAGCACAGCACCTCGGCCCTTCATCTGTGACTGGTGTGTTAAAACATCACTCGATTCCCATTCCTCCTGCCACGATGGAAGAAGCAAACAGGCAAAGAGGCTTTGCGCTTGGGTTAGTCAATTTTCATGGCAATTTAGCAGGGCTGGTCCAGAGTCATTTTCCAGCTAATTTCAGTTTCTTTGCACTGCTCCTGAGCTGCGGGGCCTGGGCTGCAAATGTGACAGCAGGGAGCTGCTCGGAGCCTTGTCATGGAAAAAAGCTGACCTGGGAAACGTGGTTATCAGCATTTGATAAGAGATGATAATGCTAATTTTGGTCCTGAAATCTTTCCTTAACAGAAGCGATCAGCTCATATTTATCCCAGCAATTACAGCTGCAAAGAGCTCAGGCAGTTAGAGGATCTCCACCTTCTGCAGCTGAGAGAGAAAGGTTTAGATCATGAGAACTAATGCTAACGTGGCTTTTTGAGGGGAGTTCTCCCTTTGGGGGGTAAATCAGCACCTATCTGTTAGAAACCAGGCCCTGTTCCCCCATGGCACAGGCTGCCCCACATCTGCCTGATGGATGGCTGTCTTGCCGGTCCTCTGATGCATCCTGTCCTTGCAGGAGCCAGGAGGCAGGAGGCTCTGCTCCAGGGCCCGGTGTGGGTTTATGCTCAAGCTCTGACATTCTCAGGGGTATTTCTGAGGCTACCTACAAGGGGCTTTGGCCAGAAAAGGTCCCTTCCGTGGCATCAGGCCGAGGTGGGCTCATGCATCCCAGCCTATGCTTGATCCCTGACTCCTGAAGTGATGCTCTGTGCAGTGTGACCTGCTGCGGCGTCACCATACATGTGCCAGGGTGTGATCATTGCTTGCAGATATGGGCAGCCCACATTTCTGCCCTAGCACGTGTGGCCTGAAGGTTTAGCAGGACACAAGGCAGAGCACGTATGGCACCACAGTGGGGATGCTGGAGTTGCTGCCAGGCAGCGTGTGTTTCAGGGCCATGGGCAGACCTGCAGAGCCTTTGCAGGGCAGATTCTTACATTCTGCAGCAACAAGGAAAGCGTTTTCCAGCCGCTGCAGCCCTGCAGAGCACGGTCCTTGGCTCAGCACAGCTCACTGGCTGCTTTCTGCAGCACCAGCCATTAACCTCTCTGCTCTCCCCAAAGAAATCAGTGCGTCTGCAGGGCCTTTGGAACCTGTGAGTGAAGCCAGCAAAGCGAGGGGGAGTGTGTCAGCCTGGTTTGTCTGCATCTCATCTGGCCAGTGGGTGATGTGTCACCCAGGAGCATCAGTGCACACCGTGGCTGTGGGCAAAGGTGTCCGGACAGCCTAGAGAGTGGATAAAAAGGCAAGGGCTGAATGGTGTTTTATGTGCAAAGCACCAAAGCTGAGAGGGCAGGATGAATTCCCCAGTGCTCCCACAAGCCAGTCCAACTGGTTTATGCAGAGGGACTCACTGGGGTTTCTGTGTTGGTGCTTGTGTCTGGTGCAGGTCTCACACACAACAGCCTCAATTTTAGCATGCCAGGGCTTACAGACATCTTCAGCAGCTCTGCCGCCCATGCGAGCTCCTCACCCAGAGCATTTGGGGCAGGACCAGGGATGGCAAGAGGCTCCTCCTTGCCTTGCCCAGTGTGTCATGGCCCTTTGCTCCTGCCAGCAGTGTGCTTTAGGAGGGGACCAGGCAGTGGTGTGAAGCCTCCATCGCTCCAGTCCTTCACAGGCAGCCTGTGCTCAGCTCCCATCCCATCGGGCTGAGGGAGCCTTGGGCAAGCCCTGCACTGTCTGCAGGGGGTCAGGCAAGACCTCGGCAGCCACAGGAGCCCCAGCCAGGGAGCAGAGCCGACACCAGGGCAAGGTGCTCCTGTGAACCCATCTCTCCTCCTCCTTGCTTCTAGTCCCATTAACCAGCACCAGCTGAAGCTGGCAGCGGGCTGAGGACAATCTGCATTATCTCAGCAATGGAAATAAATACCCTGAAAAGATGAGCCTCCCTTCAGGTCTGATCCTGTGCTGCTGGGAGAGGCTGTAGCTGGGTGCTGGACACCCCTGGCAAGGGCTGGCTGTGCACAGGTCTGTATATTCTAATAGTATCCGTGCCCCTGTATGTGATGAGCAATGCCAAGGCTGGGACCTCCCTGTGTGCTGCTGCACAGGGAAATTGGCTGTGGAGGTGTTTGAAGTGCTCGTGCAGCATGTGTGGGGCTGAGCCCCACAGGCACAGTGGGGAGGCTGCGCTCTGTGCCCTTGGCCGTGGGGTCGGGGGCAGCTCATGCCAGAAGCTGCACTGGAGGTTGCTCGGAGTCCAGGGAGGGAGGCAGGAATCCGGGACAAACCAGGGTTTGTTTCCCAGCCCTGACTCCTCTCATCGGCTCAGCTGCGGGCCTGTGTTCCCACGGCTCAGTGGGGTGGCATCCCCCAGGAGGATGCTCCTCTCATCCCATGGCATCTGTGGGATGGAGGCCAAAGGTCCTGTGTCCTCAGTGGAGCCTTGCTGAGGACCTGCCAACCCTCTGCTTGTGGGGCTGGGCTCCATGGGGAGCGCTCTGAGCCCGAGCTGCAGAGAACTCAGCAAGACCCTGAGGCATTGACTGTGTCCTGCAAGGGGCTGGGGGGACAGACGCAGGGAAAGGGGGATCCAGTGCATTCCCAGGGCTGAAAGGATGCAGAGCTCCCGGCATCATCCTGTCCATGGGACATCTGCAGGCGATCGGATGCAGGAGAGGGGAACTGCTCCCTGGCTGGGGCTGGGCTCCAGTCCCTGCCCTCCACCTGTGGGTACAGCAGCATTGGTGGTGCAGCCACAAGCCTATCGCTGGGGATTTGGCTGCTAATCCTCTGTGGAAGAGCTGGCTGTAATCTAGCAATATTGGCTCAGGCTTTTCTTATTAACTTCTCCCAGGCTGCCTGATGCTTCTGACCAGCACATCCAGCGGGGAGGGGATGCCCTCCCCACACCTTCCTGGGATGTGGAATGGGAAAGTGAGATGAGCTACACAGCACCAGCACTGCCTGCTTTGCACTTTGGTGCTTGTCTTTCCCTGCCTTCCTCTTTGGTGCCAGGGGTTTCTGCTGGGGGTCTCTGCTGTTCTCAGTGGGGCCAGGCTATTGTCACACTCATCTTCCTTCAATCCCTGCATCTTCAAGCTGGCAGTTAATTAAGCTGTCAGAGCCTTCCCTTTAATCAGAGCACGTCAGACCCGTGCCAGGGGCTCCCCTCAGGACAACTGTACTTTCCTGGCAGCATCAGGATGGAAAGACACAGGATATCCCATTGCTCTGCCTGTGGCGGTCTGGGGCACAGCCTCAGCCTCGCTACGTTCCTAAACAGGATGGGGCTGGTGCGTTCCTAAACAGGATGGGACTGATGCTCTCCGGGGACTCGCAGCCCAGGGCTGCATCCAGCTGCTCCGTGCAGAAAGCTCAGCTAAGGAAGGAGGGGATCCCACAGGGCTCTCGCCTGCATGGGGCAGGATGTGCACAGAGGCTGGAGCTGCGGGACCTGCCCGAGCCCTCCTCCTTCCCCTCGCAGCGCACAGGACAGGAATAACCCATTGCCAGTATCATCAGTCTCTTTGCTGGTGGCTCCTAACCCCATCGCTGACTCTGCGGGGAACCCACAGGTCTGCTGAGATGGCCATGAGTGCTTCCTGTGGTTCCTTTGCATTTGGCACAGCTCTGTTGGGGGGCATCCAGCAACCCCACATCCCACCCCGGCTCTCGGGCCCCCTGCCTGGTTAGATATTCCTTCCTGTCTCCTGCCATTCTTCCCATTGCAATCCTCCTTCCCCTGCGAGGTGTCAAGGTGGGATGTGCAGTAACTGTTACATGGGTCATTAATCTCTTTGAGTTAATTATAAAAAATGCATTTCCTGCCCTTTTTATTTCTAGCTCTCCACCATGTGCAGAGCTATTTGAAGCATGCCCAAGTGTCTGAAGGTCAGCAGGCATTGACAGCATTTGGTACTAGCTCCGCTTCCTTGGGAAGCAAAGGATGAAGGCAGTGGGAAGCCTGCTCGTTCCCCAGGACACCATGGTTCCAGACAGGCAGAGACAACAAGGGCTTGATGTGGGGTCTCTGACATCTCAGTCCAAGGGACCTCTTTGAGCTTTGGATCCCACTCAAACAGCCTGGGGGGAGATGGCACCAAGGGCTGGAAATGTTTTCTTTGGGTGGAAATGTGTGTCTGGAGCTCTTGGATGCGGAGCTCTTGGATGCTTGGATGCTTGGGTGGAAATGTGTGTCTGGAGCTCTTGGATGCGGAGCAGCCTGAGCTCCACTGTGTTCCCATCACCCAAGACGTGTGGAGGGCAGAAAGCACCCAGGAGCTCAACACGAGGAGCTGTGCTCCCCCTCCTGCTGGCTGGCTCTTTCCTGGAGCCCTCCTCAACCCTCGCTGCGGAGGATGGAGCTGAAGAGCACACAGGGAGCGTCTCGCTCGTCCCAGCTGGCAGCCAGCTCCCCCAGCTGCACAAAGGGCCTTTTCATGCCCTGCATAAACAAGCGAGGTTGTTATCGCAGAGCATCAGCACTAGCAGCAGCCCAGGCGGGGATTCCCAAAATAACCCTCTTCCCAAGAGCACACAGCCATGCACACCCCTTTTTCCAGGCTGCTGGGCTTTAGGGAATAAAGGTTTTGGGTGCACCCACCTCCTCTGCTGAAACCTGGGGCCCAGAGCAAGAGCCTGCCATGGGGCAGAGCTGGTGGTACCACGGCACATGCGTGTGTGCACACATGGATATGTTCACCTCGTGTTGGAAGTGAGGAAGAACACAGCCACACTGCAGCTTCTGCTGCATCCTTGAATGCTTTGCAGTGATTATTAATAGCTGATGGTGTGCTTCCCTGATGCTGGTATCGTAAGGGCTAAATAACAGTTTGTTCTGTGCTTGGGAGGTGGAGCTCCAAGGTGCTTTTCCTTAGAGGATGCTTCCTCTTCATGGCTATGCCTATGAAGCTGGACCCCTAGCTGCATCCCGATCTCATCTACCTTGTCTAGGGAAGAGCAGGTTCCCATGTAGAAATACATTCATTACTGGAGGATGTGCTGACCCTCTTTGCCTTCTATCCCATAAATCCAAGCCAAAGTCACTGCAGAGTCAAATTGTAAGGGGGAAAACTTGCTGGGATAAAAGAACTTGGAGGCTCTCATGGTGATCAGGGAAGGCCCTCGTGACTGAACCTGTCCTAATGTTGAACCATGAAACATCTGCAATTTATACCAGTCCTCGTTTATTTGTATTGGCGTTTGTGTTTTCTTATGTTGTTGTTTCAAGTTGTTCTGCTGCACAACGGGAATCTGGCCAGGAGATCCTCACTTGGGTTGGAAAACAACCTGACTCCAGAGAGAGGGTTTCCCATGGAGCTGCTTGGTGGTAATGGGGAGACAGTCCAGGCTGGGCTGTTTGCACCAGCGCAAGATGGGGAGTAAGGGATCCACTGGAAGAATTTGTTCTATGTGTTCTCCCAACTCCTTGGCTTGGCACAGGGAATGCTCCCTGCAGTGCTACTGGGGAACTACCCAGGGATATCTGGGCTCACAACTCTACCAGTGGGGTCACCCACTGATTATTGACCCGAATTCACTCAGAAGTGAATTTAACATTTAAATTTCCCAGCTTTCCTCTCAGATCATGACCCAACCTCACCCGTTGAGCAGAAACCCCTCTTTTCCCTTTGAATGACCAGAAAGAGAAAACCAGACAGTAACAGTCCTCAAGGCCCTGCACATCGCTCCAAGCGCTGTTGTTTTGCACCACTGCAGTGCAACTTTTCTCCTGTCCAAGTCCCCTTCAGCCCAGCGCAGCAGGACACGTGAACGATGTCACATGCAGCACATCCATCCCTGCAGCAAGGTGGAGGTGAAACCCATGCCTGCAAGGGGAATCTGAGCAGCCTGTTGAAATGCCTCTTATTTGTAAATGAATGCCCTCCCTCTAGCTCGGCTCCCATGTGGTGGGTTATTTTTTCCAAGAGGTTCCTGCTATTTACCCAACTTTCCAGCTGGGTTTCTCTAGGCACAAAGAGGCAGGACCTGCCTGAGTTTGTACAGTGAGTCAACAGCTCAGCAGGGGATTAGAGCCCACAATCCTGCTGGCATCACTGCCTTGGCTCGAACCACTGGACCGTGCAGCCTCATTTTGTTCCTGGTACTCTCTGCTGGTATGTGGTTTGTCAGGAAAAAAGCCCCAGTGTGGCTAATAAAGGAGGCACTTCATAAAGCAGTAAATAGAAGCCCTCCTCGTCCCAGCGCTTCATCCTGGCTGTGGTGGTGTTGGGGTCAAGCTCCCCATGTGAGTGGGAATGGCAGGGTTCCTGAAGGCTGAGGAGCAGCACCCAGCACAGAGCCCTGGCACCTACTGCTGCCAGGCAGGCGACCGTGTGCTGACACACTGTGACAGCCACCACGGGCCAGCTCTGCCTTGCAGAGGACAAGCAGAGGCAGCCAAGTCAGCCCTTCCCTGCTGGGAAGAGCCCCCCGGCCTCCTCTCACTGCTGGAGTCCAGCCTGTCCTGGGGTCCAGCGCGGAGCTGCACCCTTCTGACTTCAGAAGACCCAACGCAGGAACTGTTGTAAGTAGCACATCTGCCAACAGAGCAAAGCAGAGGCCCTCTTGGAGCCCTATGTGATGCAGGATGGGCTAGTGGGCCTTGGGTACCAGATCAGGACCAGCCCCAGCACTAATCTGTGCGTGACACATCCCCTCTGTCCTTTGCTGCTCAACACCCGCGAGGCAAAGAGGGCTGAGTGTGCTGTGCACCTTGTGCTCATGAGTGTCTGAAAGGTTTCACCTCTGGTCACAGCCATGCTGTGCATCCAGTTCATCCGTGTACTTCACGCATTCCTGTGCCCAGTGCATCTCTGTACCCAGTGCATCCATATGCCTGCTACATCCGTGCACCCAGTGCATCCCTGCTGTGCATTCAGCGCATCCCTGCACCCAGTGCTTCCATGCTGTGCATTCCCGGGTATGCAGTGGGGTCCCCCCTTTTCCCCCGCATCTCCTGGAGGGGCTGCTTGCCCTGACACCACCGACTTGCACAGGGGGTCCCTTGCCCGCGCTGAGCCCTCCCGGGTGCCCCCCGGCACCGCGCTCCGGGCACTGTGCGCGCAGCCCGGGACGCTGCGGGGCCGAACCGGGGCCGAGCCCCCGCACCCCCGTGGGCGGCTCCCGCGCAGCGCAGCGCGGGGCGGGGCGGAGCGGAGCGGACTGGGGCGGCCTCTCCCCCTCCGCAGCGCCGCGCCCCGGCCCTCCCCGCCCCGCCCCGCGCTGCGCCGCGCTCCCGCCGCTCGGCGGGCAGGGAACGGGCAGCGGGCAGCGGGCGGGCAGCGCGGGCGGCGGCGCGGGGCCGCGCCCGGGAGGCGGCGGCGGGAGCGGAGCGGAGCGGAGCAGAACGGAACAGAACGGAACGATCCCGGCTGTACCGGGCCGGGCCGGGCCTAGCGGAGGTGAGAGCCGGGGGTGGGGAGCGCGGGGACGGGCGGTCCTTGCGGCCCCAGGTGCGCTGCCCGCAGCGGAGAGGCGGGCAGGGATGCGGGCAGGGATGCGGGCAGGCGCAGTCCCGCCGCTGGGAAAGCTGCTCCAAGCCGGGCCTCCCCTCCGCGGCGTATCCCTCACCGCGCCCTGCCTCCCTGTTTCCCTCCATCCCTCCTTGCCTCCCTCCAGCCTTGCCCGCCGCGGGATGCTGGGGTCGGGGCGCGGCTCCCGACGGCGCCCCAGCCGGGCACGGGATGCGGGGTGCGGGGACCGGGACGCGCCGCGCTTCCAACCCGCGAAGGAGCAAAGCGGAGTGCGGGGAAGCAGCAGCGCAAGGCCGGGTCCTTCCGCCGGGATGAGGCAGCCCCAGGGATCCGTAGCCCCGAGCTGCGGGTTGCTGTCATAGCATTTAACTGCCGGGCTGTGATTTCAGGGAGACGATTTACATTAGAGGGAGAATGTGGAGGGAGCCAGGAACAACTTGGAATGGGTCCTCGCATATTTCTGTGGTTATTTTTGGAGTATCGTCATATGGCAGGAGGTGGGCTCTGGAGGTATCCTTGAGCTCAGCATTTTCTCCATAGGCTGGTTACCCGGGAGATCGTACTAGAGGACCTGCGTGGCCCTTTTCTCTATCAGTGCCTCTGTATAAAACACTGTTTCTCTCGCTGTTTCCACGGTGGTATTGTTCCCCCCCGGCATGGCCAGCCTTCAGCGTGTTATGGTGGGGACCCTTCTGTGGACAAACAATGGTCCGGGTATGCGTGGTTGAGTATTCACAATGTGTTGCAGGAGCAGGAGATGGAAAAAGCTGTGTTTGATTCAGCTGTAGATGGTGTGAGGTGACTCCTGATCAGCCTTTCTCCACTGCCGTGGATGAGGTGTGGCTTCTCCAGCATCCCTGGAGAGACCAGCCCCTGCATCAGTCTCCTTGCACTTAACCGCCACTTTCCCTCCAGCTCTGTCATGCTAGACTGATCCGAAGTGTTTTTCACTTCCAAACAACTCACATTTGCTACCCAGGCCTGCTCTGTGGGGCTGCCTTGCAGAGCTCCAAGTCCTTTGCAGCCCACTGGAGGACTCTTGCATGTGTCAGATCCCTTTGACCGTGACTGGGCAGGCTGGAGAGCTGTTCTTGTTGCTGCCAAGCAAGCTTGGAGCTGCAGACGGCTGGGTTTGGGTGATGATCCTTGCAAGAAGGGAATTACTCTTTAATTATGCTTTTTAGAGACTGGTTTGGTAGGCATGGAGCCTGTCTGTGGAGGGTTCCCCAGGGTGCTCAGTGCTGAGGTCTCACCAGGGAGCTCAGAGCCGTGGTCTCAGTGAGGACCTCGGTCTGTGCTGCGTGCAGAGCTATGGGGCATGTTCTGGAAGGTGTGGCAGACCCTGGCTATTGTGGCTTATGGCAGGTCCAGAACCATCCCCTTTCTCCCAGAGCATTCCCTTATGCTCTGTTTGGTGTCAGAGGACCATGATGTACCTGTCCAGTGCGGGGTGTGAGGTGCTTGCCCACCTGCAGACCCTGATGGGGGCAGAGCATTCACCTCTCCTCTCTGTGCCATCCTTGTGCTGTGTTGACTGCTTTAGCCACAGCAGCCTTCAACCAGAGCTCTGGGTGCACAGCAGAGCCCTGCCTTGGGGTGCAGGGTGGCTCGGAGTGCATGATGCAGCACCCTGTTTGTGCTGACGGTGGGCTGGCTTTGGCTGCAGGTGATGTGTTCTGCCCCTGCTGTTTTGGTTACTTGTTGATGTTGTAGCTAGACCTCTCTGGAATTGTTATTTTTACTAATTTTTGAGAAATCAGCATTTCCCCAAACTCTCAGGGGAGATGCTTTGTTTTAGAGGAAGCTTCTAAAAAAGGGGTTTTGAAGTCCAGTGTTGCGTTTCTGGTCAGAAAGCACTGGTGTAGACGAGAGCCTCTGTTTCTGGGATGGGGAGGGTGAAGGTTTCGGTACCTTTCCTGTCCAGTGCAGGCACAGAGCTCACTGGGCTTCCTTTCCCGAGCTGCTGCCATGGTTGACACCAGCACAACTTCCCAGGGTAAGTGTGTTCTGGTATGCGGATGGGCAGCTGGAGGGGTGGCTGGCTCAGCTGGAGGAGTCACTGCAGGGAGGAATGGGGAGCATCTTAAAAATCCATTTTCTTCCCCCAGGCAGCTGAGCTCTGTGTTGGGCTCTGGTTGATGACCTTGGTCCTGGTGAGGAGCTGGATCTCTTGTTGGTTTGCACAATAACCTTTCACACTTTCTGCTGGCAGCACTGAGCCCTCATCCCGTATATAACTCCATCATCACCCCGTGTTCCCTGTGTTCCTCTTTGCTCTAGCACTGCTGATGACTTCTGCATTACTGGAGGAGACAGACAGACCGACGGACCAGTCAGGTGCCTCATTAATTCTGTCTCCAAAAGAAGCACTCTTTCCCATAGCTAATTAAGGATTTCTAAATTGGGAAGTCACAGAGAATGGCCTCTTGGTTAAAGGGCAGGGGGTGGCCTTGGCTCTTCCCAGGCTTGTTCTGAGTTTCCTGCTCAGTCATCACTGGAGCGTCCTTTGCCTTAATTTTACTTGGCTATGGACTGGGGATATTTCCCTGCCGCCTTGGACACAGCACTGCAGCGCCCGAGTTTCACTGGGATACTGATGGGGAAGCAAGTGTGTGCGAGGAGATGGGCTCAAGCTTTGTGGCAGATCAGTCTGGGTGTCTGAGGCCTGTGTTTGGCTCTGTAGTAGACTTGAATGCGGTGCAGGTCTGAGCCTGAAGCTCTGTTTTAAGCCTAGATGCGAAGGGAGAAACACGAAGCGCAGAGGTTCCTGTGTCTCCGGTTGCTGGAAGCTCTTGTGCAGCTACAGATACATGGCTCTCATACAGCATCTAAAAATGTGCTTGTGCTGAGGCTGTGACAGTGATGGCTGCGTGGCTTATTGTTCTCATTAGAGCAGTCGGGTGGCTCTGAGTCAGCAGGTTTGGATTTGTCACACTGATGGCACTGGGGAGACCTGCGAGGGTCTGCGTGGAGGGGACGTTGGGTGCACTGTTGGCTCGTGCTGTCACTTGAGCCTGGAAGGAGTTGTATGTATCTGTGGGTGCTGGAGGGCAGTCTCCTTTGGGGGCTCCTTTCCAGTACCTGTCCTGTGCCATAAGGATCTGTGAAGTCGAGCATCACTACTGCCATCGAGGCAGCTTGTCCAGTGGACCTGTCTTCCGTAGGCACATCACCTTGTCTGGATTACAGGATATGGGAAGCGTGGTGGG